TGCTAATTGCCTCTTTTAGTGTCTTAGGATAATAATATTCAGAAAAGATAAAAAAAAACAAAATAAAATAAATGAACTTTTAATAAAAATGTTTTAATAAAGTTTTAAAATTGTCCTCATTTAGGTAATATAAATATTTTGATTTTAGCTTTTGGATTTTGTAAATTTTGTGGCAGTCTATTGTTTGAAATGAGTGATAAGTTCTAATCTAAATTCTTTTTATTTTTAAATTAATTTTTATTGTTTAATTTTTAAGACAAGCAAGAATTAATAACCTAAGATAATAGAAGTAAGCAAGTTTTATTCGATTATATTTAGCTTTTTTAAAAAATTTATAGGTTTTACAAAAACACTTAGTTCAAGTGTTATTGTTCATCCAAGCTAGAATAGTGACTAAAAATATTTGTTTTAGTAAGTTATTTTTCAAATCCTTTATAATTTTATTTAATAAGCTAGTTTGACAAGTTATTAGTTTTTAAAAAAAGCTTTAACTTGTTTAACTTGTTCAAATAGGTAGTCAAATCATTTAAGTTTTGTAAAAAGAATATTAATTTTATAGTTCTTATTTTCACAAAAATCAAATAAGATATCTATTTGTTTTTTCAAAATAGTTTGTATTTATAAGCTTCTAATTGTAAAAAAGAAAAGTCAAATATATTTTTAGAATAATTAAAGTTGCTTTTAGCAATTTTGTTTTGTATTTTATAATTTAACTAAATCATTAATAAGGTAAAAAAATTAATTAAGTCTGTTATTATTTCTTTTAAATTGAAAAGATTGGTTCTGTTATTGTTACTAAATTGTAATAAAATTTACTAAAAACTAGCAAACTGTAATAATTTTGAATATACAAATATTAAGTAAAAGATCTTTTATTTAAAGAAAAATAAAATAAATAAAAATAAGAAATAAATAAAAAATTTAAATTTAATAGCCTCCTAGGCACTATAATATATAACAATAAAACTAACTTTTAAACCAATCTTACTGTTTAGTCTGTACAGATCAGGTATAACAAAATATTTATTTGATACAAGAGTTATTAAATTTTAAAACTTTGAAATATCTATAGAATATAATTAAAAGAAGAAAAGCCTTAATAATTAAACTGTTAACAGCTATATTTGGTCTTTAAATTCTAATAATATAAAACTAGTATTTACTAAATAGCTAATTAAGAAAATCAACTTTCACTTTATATTGTTACAAAAAAGAGAAGAAAAAAAATAATATAAAACTAATATTTTTTGCCAAATAACTAATTAAAAAAATCAGCTTTTTACTTTATATTACAAAAAGAAAAGAAAAAAAATAAACTAAATAAAAATAATTTATAAAGAAGAATAAGATAAAGAATAAAATAAAAAATAGATTTTATAAATAATATTTAAAGAATAATAATTAAAAATTATTTTATTAAAAAATTTTTGATTAAATAATTATTATAAGAAGCTTTTTATATATATAAAAAGAAATAATTTCTAAGACATTCAAAAAACTGTTCTTTTAGAAAGACAAAGCTATTCTTTTTAAAGCTTTTAATCTAATAATTGATTGGTTTTAGAGCTACTATATGTTGTAGCATTATTCTGAGTCATATGAATGTTCAAAATGCAATAAAAATTAAGAAATTCTATGTATATTTTACTAATAATACTTGTATACAAATGATAAATCAATACTATATCTTTTTATTTTTATTAATACTTAATACTTTATTGTATAATAATTTATATATTAACAAAAATAAAACAAATATTATTGTGTAGCTTATATGTTCATTTACAAAACTTTTCATAATCATTTAGTATTTAGAAGCTTTCTTACAGATATTGTTTTAAGTACAACTAAAAATAACTATAGTAGTATATAGAAAATATATAGTAATACTATAGTAAATATTATATTATAATTAATAAATATTAATTAACTATAATTAAATTAATTAGTTTATTATTTTAGAGTATTTTGAAGCACCTGAAACATCTTGGCCATGACCTGAGGCCTTTGGTCAGAGCTTTTGTAATATTAAATAACTATATTTTTAAATATCTAAATAACTATTAGCTAAAATAAAATACTATAAAAAATTTACTAATAAAATAAATATTACCCTATTAAATAGGCAATTAAAACTAATAAAACAATCTATAAACTATATAAAAATATTAAAAAAATATAAAATATAATATAGAGCTAAAAATAATAATATATAAAAAAACTTCTATTATAGTAATATATAAAAAATATATAATAATATAAAAAAATATATAAAATATAATATAGAGCTAAAAATAATAATATATAAAAAAAAATTCTATTATGGTAATATATAAAAAATATATAATAATATTATAGTAAATATTGCATTATGATTAATAAATATTAAATATTATAATTAAATTAATTGTTTTATCATTTTAGAGTGTTTTGAATTATTTAGAGCATGATCTAAATCTTTTGATCAAAACTCTTGTAATATTAAACAACTAATAATTATTAACAAATAAAATACTATAAGAAATTTATTAATAAAATAAATATTAATCTATTAAATAGGCAATTAAAACTAATAAAATAATTTATAAACTATATAAAAATATTAAGAAAAACAAACTATAATATAGATCTAAAAATAAATATATAATATAGAAAAAAAAAATTTTATTACAATATAAAATATTAATATAAAAAAAAAACTTTTAGTAAAAATATTTTAATAAAGTTTTAAAATTATTCTTTTTTAGATAATATAAATATTTGAGTTTTAGTTTTATATTTTGTAGATTTTATAATATTCTATAATTTGAAACAAATAGTAGATTTTAATTCAAATTTGTTTAATTTTTGAATTTATTTTTATAATTTGATTTTTAAAACAAACAAGAATTAATAATTCAAGATAATAGAAATAAGCAAAAATTTTTACTTAATTATGTTTAGCTTTTTTGAAATATTTATAGGTTTTTTATAAAAACACTTAGTTCAAGTGTTATTATCTATCTAAGCTAAAACAATAACTAAAAATATTTGTTTTAATGAATTATTTTCTAAATTCTTTATAATTTTATTTAATAAACCAGTTTGACTAGTTATTTAATCTTCTTTTTTTTAAAAAAATAATTAATTTTTTAAAAAAACTTCAACTTATTTAAAATATTCAAATAGATAATCAAATTGTTTAAGTTTTGTAAAAGGAATATCAATTTCACTATCCTTATTTTCACAAGAATTGAATAAGTTATCTATTTGCTTTTTTAAAAATAATTTGTATTTATAGACTTGTAATTGTAAAAAAGAAAAACCAAATATATTATTAAAATAATTAAAATTACTATTAGCAATTTGGTTTTGTATTTTATAATTAAACTAGATCATTAATAATGTAAAAAAAAAATTAGGTTTGTTGTTATTTCTTTTAAATTGAGAAGATAAATTCTGTCATCATCACCAAATTATTATAAAATTTACTAAAAACTAGCAAGTTGTAGTAAACTTTAAATAGCACAAGTGCTGGGTAGAAATCTTTTATTTAAAAGAAAATAAAATAAAAAATAAGAAATAAATATTTAAAAAGTGGAATTTAAATTCAATAGCTCCGACCAAAACTTGGAGGAAAATTAGTAAATCCGTCGAACTACCCCTTCGAATGTTACTGCTCCAAGATAATACATCCACAGTATTGTCGACTATTAGGATTTGGAATAGTATTGTAGGTAGTAGTGGTGTTAGCTGTTAGTTTATCCTGACTACGGCCACTTTAACAACGCCAATATTCTTAAAAAACCAGAACAGACTTTGTTTCAATTAAATAAATGCAAAAATCATTTTCCTTTATAAAGATAGTGTAGCCATCATGGAAAGTTACTGGTCCTGGCTCTAATTTAATAATAATCATGGCGGCTGAAGCTGAGATTGGGAATCTCTATTTAATTTATAATATCTACTAAAATTCACTTGTACTCTTTTTTTAATAAAATTGTCTAAGCATTAACCTAACTCTAAAAAAAAAAACCACCAAAAAAAGCCCCAAAAGTTTTTAAAATTTAATATTAAAAACATTTCAAATCACAGTTTCAGCCGATCTCAGCCTCAGCTGCCACAATAATTTTATAATATAAATAGTTTTAAAATAAATTTACCAGATAATGGGAAATAAAAAATTGAATCATAATACTTCATTTGCTGTAGGAATAAAGTATTTAAATAGATAAATCAATGTTCTTATCGTTGTTGTTCGTTATTAAATTAATACAGTATTATTAAATACACACGTTAAATATTATTACAATAGTCATCAGAAATTGAAAAATTGCACGCAGTAGAATCTAAAGAATTAAAAAATAATTAAATTAAAACATTCTATCAATTAATTGAAAATACAATAGATGTAACTATTCACCGTAAATGTTTAACAATTCTGCAGATAAAGAATTAATTGGCTTAGAAATGTTTTTAAAGTTAAGCAGTTTGCCTGTAAGCTTATCTTTAGGATCAGTTGACAATAATGTTGGAATAATCGTATCTGCTGACTGGAATGCTTTTAATATTGCTAATTCATTTTTGTCTTTTGTAGCATTACGGCATAATATATTATACCATTTTGATAATTCATCACAGATATAAGATGCAGTCGGTCTGTTGGAAGGGTTAGCATCCATGCATTGATTTGCTAACTGGATATAGCATTCAGGAGTGTTTTTAACAAACTTGGGGCGTAATCCATTATATATATGAATAGCTAACGTTACATCATACTCAACATCACAATGAGGAGGTTTTCCCGTAGACATCTCAGTCATAATAATACCAAAACTATAAATGTCAGCAGCCATTGTGTATGGTTGGTGAAGTAACACCTCTGGCGCAATGTAAGGTAAAATACCGTAAATGTCATCTTCTAAATCAGATTCATCCTTCTTCCTAGATAATCCTAGGTCCGCTATATAAGATATTAGATCTCCATTAATATATTGGTTTAGTAATATGTTACCGCTATGAAAATCTCCATGAATGTATTCTGCTTTGTGTACTTTTACTAAATTTTTTGATATATCGACAAGCTGCTTTAATTTATTATTCCAATTAAGATCTTTAAAATTTGAAGATAGGAAATCATGAAGACTTCCCCTATTTGCATATTGAATTACCAACAAATATTCATTGCTAGTCGTGTCTTGAGTTAGTCCATACACTTCAAGATTATTACCTACTAATCTAAATTCTGTGTAACTTTTAAACTTAAATGAATTAAAATTTATGATGTTAATAATTTATTTATACTATTAAGTCATAAATAAATTATTTAACTTACTTCTTTCAAAAAATTCTTTTGTGAACCAGGTAAAGTTTTAAGTGCGACTACGCATGATGGTGTACGTGATTGCGTGTATTCATTATGTTTATATTTAAAAATTTCCTTATATCTGTAATCTTCACTCATTTCAACTATTCTTTTGCCATCTAACCACGTTGCTGAAAATACAGAGCCAAATCCCCCTTTACCAATTGTTTGAATATTATCTAATCTTTTAAAAGGAATCCATTCAATCACATTCTCATATTCTGTAGATTTAAGTTGAAATTCCTTAATGCAATTATCAACATCCTCATTTCCACTTGTCCATCCTTGTGCTGTTTTCTGAGGGTCGCATGTTTGACACCAGGCTTTGGAAGTGTTATTTCGGTTGCAGTTTGTACATTTTCCATTCTTTACATTTCTCCTAGAATAAAATTCATCAAACACCAACATATACTCATTTTTTACAGCGCTTTGAGTTATTCCATATACTTTAAGATCATTATTCTTCAACTGTACATAATCTACAAACTTATTAAGCATGCAAAATATATATTAAGTTAAGGTTATATTTTGTACAATCTTATTAATTTATTTTAACTCACTTCTTTTAACACATCTAATAAATTCTGAGATTTAGTCAATGTTTTAAGCTCCACTTTATATGATCGTATACGTGTCTTTGTGTATTTATTTTCATCGTAAATACTTCCATATTTTACATATCGTATTCCATCTAACCAGGTTACTAAAATTTTATCACCAATATTTTGAATATTAGCTAATTTATTAAAAGGAATCCATTCAATCACATCCTCAAACTCTGTGGCTTTCAGTTGAAATTCTTTAATACAATTATCGATATCCTTATTTCCACTTGTCCATCCTTGTGTTATTTTCCGAGGGTCACATGTTTGGCACCAAGCTAAAGATGTGTTGTATCGGTTGCAGTTTTCACATTGTCCATAATCTTTATGTCTTTTAGAACCGAATTTATCAAATTTATGTACTAACATATATTCATTTGTGATTTTGTTTAGAGTTAATCCGCAGACACCTTCACGCATTAATTGACTTTCCAATTGCATATGATTTTTACACTTATAAAATAGCTAAAATGTAGAAGTTGAAATAATCGTTATATTTTATAAAATGTCGTGCATCATATTAAAATTTTGCGTCAAATCAAAATTTAAATGCGAGTTTTATTAGGGTTAGGATGGATACCTATGTTAGGTATTAGCGGAATTACAGTATAATGATTTTAATTTGACGCAAAACATAAATAAGCTACGCATTATAGAAATATAATCTTACTTCTTTCAACATATTTATTAAATTTCGTGGTTTAGACAATAATTTAAGCTCCACTTTAGTTGATGGTATACGTGACTGCTTATATCTATATTCTCCGCGGTATCCTTCATCATTTACATGCCGTATTCCATCCAACCAGGTTGCTAAAACCCTATCATCAATATTTTGAAAATCAATTAACCTATTAAAAGGGATCCATTCGATTACGTCTTCATAATTCGTAGCTTTAAGTTGGATTTCTTTAATGCAGTCATCGATACCCTTATTTCCGCTTGTCCATCCTTGTATTATCTTCTGAGGGTCACATATTTGGCACCAAGCTGAAGATGTGCTATATCGCTCGTATTTTGTACATTTCCCATTACATTCAGATCTTTTAGAACCAAATACTAACATATACTTCTTCGTAGATGGATCTTGAGTTAATCCACAGATACTTTTACCTTCTAATTGAGCATTCTTTTTAAACTTGTAAAATATATAAAATATAAAAATTAAGTATACATACCGATACTATTAATTAAATGGACGAATTTAATTGTAACAACTTAGTATAGCAAATAAAAATTAAAAATCCGTGTAACCCAAATCTTTAACTACTATCGGCTAATACGTGGTTATATGTAACGAATACATTTGTTCTATGCAATAATATAAACTTACTTCTTTTAAAATATTTTGAATATTTTGCGAATCAGTTAATACTTTAAGTGTAATTATGCATGCCGATGTACGTGTCTGTATATATTTATCGTAATCACAACTTATATATCGTATTCCATCTAACCAAGTTGCTAAAATCTTATCTTCAATGTAGTGAATATTAACTAGTTTGTTAAAAGGAATCCATTCGATTACTTCTTCATAGTTCGGAGCTTTAAGTTGAAATTCTTTAATGCAATTATCGATATCATCATTTCCACTTGTCCATCCTTGTGTTATTTTCTGAGGATCACATGTCTGGCACCAAGCTTTAGAAGTGTTATATCGCTTGCAATTTGCACATTCACCATTACATTCTGATCTTGTAAAATACAATTTATCAAATGCCAACATATATTCATTTGTAGTTGTGTTTTGAGTTAATCCATATACACTTTCACTCTCTGATTGTGCATAATTTTTAAACTTATAAAATGTATAAAACATATAAAACATATAAATTAAGTATACACGCTATTAATTTATGATAAAATAATAAACTCACTTCTTTTAAAATATTTTGAATATTTTGCGAACCAGTCAAGATTTTAAGCGCAATTATGCACGGTTGTGTACGTGACTGTTTATCAACTTCATTTACATATCGTATTCCGTCTAACCAGGTTGCTAAAAAATACATCATCAATATTTTGAATATTAACTAATCTATTAAAAGGAATCCATTCGATTACATCTTCATATGATGTAGATTTAAGTTGAAATTCTTTAATACAGTCATCGATATCTTTATTTCCGCTTGTCCATCCTTGTGCTGTTTTCTGAGGGTCACATGTTTGACACCAGGCTTTGGAAGTGTTATTTCGGTTACAACTTGCGCATTTCCCATTATTTTTATGTCTTTTAGAACTAAATTCATCAAATACCAGCATATATTCATTTGTTGCAGTGCTTTGGGTTAGCCCATATACTTTAAGATCACTATTCCTTAACCGTACATAATCTACAAACTTATTAAAGATGTATATATAAATTAAAATAAAGGTATAGATCTTGTGCAATAATAATATTATTAATATTACTGTAATATCTTACTTCGTTTAGCTTATCTAATAAATTTCGTGGACTAGTTAATATTTTAAGCTCCACTTTATATTGTCGTATACGTAACTGCTCATATTTTCTACTATCTGGATCTGGAGTGATTCGTATTCCGTCTAACCAGGTTGCTAAAAATTTATCATCAACCTTTTGAATATTAACTAATCTATTAAAAGGAATCCATTCGATTACATCTTCGTAAGACGTGGCTTTAAGTTGAAATCCTTTAATACAATCATCAATATCCTTATTTCCACTTGTCCATTCTTGTGTCGTCTTCTGGGGGTCGCAGGTTTGACACCAAGCGAAGTATGTGTTATATCGCTTACAATTTGCACACTTTCCATTCCGATCAGATCTTTTAGAACCAAATTCATCAAATGCTAGCATATATAGATTTGTATATGCGTTCTGAACTAGCCCATAAATATTTTTACCCTCCAGTTGCGCATGACTTTTAAACTTATAAAAAGCATAAATATAGAAATGTAAATTAAGTAAACAACTATTAATTAAATATAACTTACTGCTTTTAAAACATCCTGAATATTTTGTGAACTAGTTAATATTTTAAGCGTAATTGTGCACGGTTGTGTACGTGACTGTTTATCAACTTCATTTACATATCGTATTCCGTCTAACCAGTTTGCTAAAAATACATCGTTGCTATTTTGAATATTAACTAATCTATTAAAAGGAATCCATTCGATTACATCTTCATATGATGTGGCTTTAAGTTGAAATTCTTTAATACACTCATCGATGTCCTTATTTCCGCTTGTCCATCCTTTTGTTATCTTCTGAGGGTCACATGTTTGACACCAAGCTGGGGATGTGTTGTATCTCTTGCAATTTGCACATTTTCCATTACATTTAAATCTTCTATAATGAAACTCATCATATACTAATATATATTCATTTGTAATTCTATCTTGAGTTATTCCATAGACGCTTATATTCTCTAATTGCACATAATGCTTAAACTTATAACATATATAACATATAAATTAAGTACGAGTACTATGATTTAAATAAACTAAACATAATAAAATCATATAAACTCACTTCTTTTAAGATATTCTGAATATTTTGTGAATTAGTCAATTTTTTAAGTGTAACTATGCACGGCAGTGTACGTGGCTGTGTATATCTATTTTCATTACTCTCATATTCGTCACTTTCATATCCATATTCATAACTTTCATATCCATATTCATCACTTAAATATCCATACTCATCATCATCATTTTTATCGTCATCTACATATCGTACACCATCTAACCAGGTTGCTAACAATAAATTTCCAATATTTTGAACATTAACTAATCTATTAAAAGGAATCCATTCGATTACATATTCGTACTTCGTAGCTTTAAGTTGAAGTTCTTTAATGCAATCATCGACATTCCTATTTCCGCTTGTCCATCTTTGTGTTGTCTTCTGCGGGTCACATGTTTGGCACCAAGCTTCAGATGTATTATATCGGTAGCAATTTGCACATTTGCCATTACAATCAATTCTTTTTAAATTAAATTCGTCAAATACTAACATATACTCATTTTTTGTTGTGCTGTGAGTTTGAGTTAGTCCGTATACTTTAAACTCATTATTATCTAATCGTACATATTCTATAAACTTATTAAATATTTAAATATAAATCAAATAAACTATATATATCTTGTACTAAATCGTTAATAATCAAATATTTTAACTTACTTCACTTAACATATCTAATAAATTTTGAGATCTAGTTAATGGTTTGAGATCCACTTTAGATGATCGTATACGTGACCGTGTCCAACCATCTTTATAATTTAGATATCGTATTCCATCTAACCAGGTTGCTAAAACTCTATCACCAACATTTTGAATATCAACCAATCTATTAGAAGGAATCCATTCGATTACATCTTTATATTTCGTAGCTTTAAGTTGAAATTCTTTAATGCAATTATCTATGTCGTTATTTCCACTTGTCCACCCTCGCGTTGTCTTCTGAGGGTCGCATGTTTGGCACCAAGCGTGAGATGTATTGTATCGATTACAGATTGGACATTTGCCATAGCTTCCAGACCTCTCAGAATCCAATTCGTCAAATTTACTAAATTCATCAAATTTGTCAAATTCATCAAATTTTCCAAATTCATTGAATTCATTGAATTCATTAAATTCATCGAACTCATTACATTCATCAAATTCATTGAATTCATTAAATTCATCGAACTCATTACATTCATCAAATTCATCAAATTCATCGAATTCATCAAATTCAAATACTAACATATATTTGTTTGTTGTAGTGCTTTGAGTTAAACCACATAACTTTTTAGTATTTAATTGCACACCATTTTTGAACTCATAGAATACCTAAAATATCAAACATGTTACTAATTAAATAAGCCACATATAATATAAATAATATAGTCTTACTTTATTTAAAATGTCTAGTAAATTTTGTGATTTAGTCAATATTTTAAGTTCCACTTTATGTGATTTGCGTGACCGTGTATATTCAAATTCACAAATTCCTGTTACATCTATATTTATATGTCGTATTCCATCTAACCAGGTTGCTAAAATCCTATTATCAATGATTTTAATATTTTCTAATCTACTAAAAGGAATCCACTCGATTACATCTTCGTATGATGTTGCTTTCAGTTGACATTTTTTAATAAAATCATCGACATCCTTATTTCCACACGTCCATCCTTGTGTTGTCTTCTGAGGGTCACACGTTTGACACCAAACTGCGGATGTGTTATATCGGTCGCAATTTGTACATTTCCCATTAGCATTACATCTTTTAGAACTAAATTCATCAAATACTACCATATATTCGTTTGTGGTTGCGTTTTGAGTTAGTCCGAATACTTTAAGTTCACTATTCTTTAATTGTACAATATCTACAAACTTATTAAAAACAGATTAATTTAAAGACTTTAATGATACAATAATAATGAATTGGGGGATAGTTCGCAGTTAAAGGGTAACCCAACTTTTTTTTAAGTCTTTAATAAATGTTGAAGAGTAGGTTTTAATTATAGAAGTCGGTTAAGTATATTACTAGATATTGATATTTTTCTTAATCTGTATGATTTTTACTTATTATAAACAAATTTTGCATTCCATCACTACATGAGAATTATAAAAAACTGCGCCAATTTTTTTATCCTTCAACTGCGGATTACCCCATAAATATGTTGACTTACTTCTTTTAGCACATCTAATAAATCTTGTGATCTAGTTAATATTTTAAGCACTATTTTATATGACGGTATACGTGACTGTGTATATTTATCAGATACATTTTCATACTTCGCATTTCGTATTCCATCTAACCAGGTTGCTAAAAATCCATCACCATTCTTTTGAATATTAATTAATCTACTAAACGGAATCCACTCGATTACATCGTCATATGATGTTGCTTTCAGTTGAAATTTTTTAATACAATCATCAACATTCTTATTTCCACTTGTCCATCCTTTTGTTACCTTTTGAGGGTCACATGCTTGACACCAAGCATAAGATGTGTTATATCGCTTGCAACTTGCGCATTTTCCATTATATTCAGATCTTTTATTTCTAAATTCATCAAGTACTAACATATATTCATGTGTTTCAGTGTTTTGAGTTAATCCATAAATACTTTTTAACTGTACATAATTTTTAAGCTTGTAAAATATATAAGATATATAAATATAAATTAAGTATATAACTTAATTAATAAACTATACATAATAAAATTATATAAACTCACTTCATTTAAAATAGTTGGAGTATTTTGCGAATTAGCCAATATCTTAAGATTAACTATGCATGGCGGTGTACGTGACTGTGTATATCTATATTCATATCCATATTCATCATTTTCATTTTTATATTTATCTACATATCGTAAACCATCTAACCAGGTTGCCAAAAATCCATCATCTTTCTTTTGAATATCATCTAACCTATTAAAAGGAATCCACTCGATTACATTTTCGTAAGATGTGGCTTTAAGTTGAAATTCTTTAAGACAATCATCGACATCCTTATTGCCACTTGTCCATCCTTGTATTATCTTTTGAGGATCACATGTTTGACACCAAGCTTTAGATGCGTTATATTGCTCGCAATTTGTACATAAACAATCTTCATAAATTCTTTTAGAACCAAACTCATCGACCATTATTCTAAGATGATCTAATGTGTTACAAAAAAAATTAATCATCGTTATCGTATCGGTATGGGTTTATAACGCATTGAAGCGCAGACAACTTTCCATAATTATATTGAATCATGGCTTAGGGATGTTAAATTGGTCTGATAGGCAGAAGTTCGTCTGATTGGCTAATAAATTCAATTGAATTTACATTATTTATACAGTTTAGAGTACTTTTTTAAAAAAACGAAAACCAACCATAATACAGGTTTCGCATACCAAATTCGTACACCTCTATCAATAACGTACTCACCCCAAGTAATAAATAAATTAGTAAATATTTTAAGAGTACGTTTCTGATAGTGGTGTACGAATTTGGCATGCGAAACCTGTAAAGTCAAAAAAAATTATATAAAAGGTTCATAGAGCTGTAGGACTCCATAGTCAAAAATAAGATCTAATTCTCGTCCATTTAAAAAAATTAGCTTAGTAAGTTGTTATTACTATACTAACTTTTTTGAATGGACGAGATTTAGATCTTATTTTTGGCTATGAAGTCCTACAGCTCATGAAACCTTCTATACAGGGGGTTTTTTTCATTATGATTAGTTTTCGTTTTTTTAAAAAAGTACTCTAAACTGTATAAATAATGTAAAATTAAATTGAAATTATTAGCCAATCAGACAAACTTCTGCATATGAGATCTGTATCATAGAATCAGCTTTTTCCTGGTTTCTCTCTCCTATTTCGTTTATAATTTGTTCTTTATGTACCCGTTCCAGAAATTCGATCTCTTTATCTTTACAAGTATCATTAGAATTTGTTTCGAAAATCGGCTATCCTTTTCTTGACATATATCAGAATAATCAGATGTTCGATGCTCCGTATCATATCGGAATTATTTTCTATCTGTTTAAGAACATCACCCTCTAACGATTTGAAGTTATTATCAATGCAATGGTTTATAACGGATATATTACCATTTTCAGATGAATTATCGCCATTTATAATTTATTTACTGCATTGTTGTTGCAAAACGCTTTTCATTTTCTTTTGCTAGCCATTCTAGTTCTATGATTCTAGTATTAAGTTCAGTATCTCTTAGTCTCGCTTTTCGGCATTTTGTTCTAATTCCATTATTCTGGCTATAAATCCTGCTTCCTTAGCTAAAAATTCAGCCTTCTCCGTTCAGTATTTTCAGCTACAAGCTTGGAAATCTGTTCTTCTAATAAATCGATTTCGGATTGTGTATTTTCATTTTTTTAATATTATGTGAGCATGAAGATTATTCGTGCCAATGGCAAGAAGAACTTTCGATCATATGTGAGTTAATAGATATCGATAGCAATACATTCAAATAAATTTACGAAATACACATGCAAAAATAAACGTAACTATGTATGCGGAATCAGCCGCCAGGGGTAGCTTTTATTATTATAAATAAAGTACAGGACAAATACTAAACACATAGAAATTTGCACATTTAACAAATAAAGCTTCTATCTAGTGGTAATTTTCCGATAAAAAAAAAATAACCCGAGTTATTTTGCTAAACTTGATTTAGGATACTTCGCTTTTCACGATACTAGTATTTATTAATAGATCGTGATATGTTAGATTAAAAATTATTAAAATATAAAAAAAAAAAAGAGCATTCGTTAGTTGGTTATTGTGAACGTCGGGAAAATTGCGACTCGGTCGCTTCACAATCCAGAATCTCGCGTAACCAACGATAGGTGACCTTACGAAAGAGGGGTGTTAGACTTGGTTGGTGGGTAATTAAGGCTTTGGTTACTTGGGTCAGCAAAGTCAGGTAGGATAAGTCACGTAATCAAGAACTTAAACGAACAACGATTTTTATGGGGTTTATAGGGTGTATGATAGGAATAGTAATATCGGTTTATTATGGACGATTTATAAGATTGGGACTTATCATTTAATAAAGCAAACGAGACATGATTCTCTTAGGGGCCATTTCGTCCTTTGTTTATAATACCCACTTCTGCCTCTTACAAATGTCACATTACATTTAATATCTAATAAGACTATTTACAATAAATTTTTTTAAGAATTTTTAATTATAACCATCCCTTAACCTCCCATATACCATTTCCCATCCGAAATACTATCCACGATCTAAAATGTAATTAATTGCACTTCGTGCATTTCTCACTTGATCGGATCACATTTTTGAGGACTCACATTATCCAGGTCACACCACGTGAATGTCAATGCCGTGTGCCACACTTCGGTGAATTTGAAATTAAGGACGGAGGGAAGTGTGAGATATAGGTTTACGGACAAGAAACTTAGAATATGAGCCTCTTGCAATTAGAAGAAGATTTATAGACGAATGTGAGAAACCTTCCTCATTCGACTATTGAGAACCGCATGAAAAACATAAAAACGAAACTGCACCAACGGAAACACCAACAGAAAAACCAATCAAAGTAAAAGCAGAAGGACATATTGAAGTTAATGATTCAAACAAGATACCACTAAAGATACTGATTGGAAGGCGACGATGGTAACGATGATAATAAAAGCGTAGTTCTTGTTTTTATCTGACAAGAGGATCATATAATCCTCAGCCGATTCGGCCGCACCTACTTAATCAGGAGCAAATGCTTCCATGGTGGAAGCTACCATGATGCCAACAACATATTTATTTTGACATACATACAGTGGCGGCCAAAGATATTGCATCACCTGAAAAAAAATTTTCAAATCCATATATCTCCCCAAAGTTGAGTTATTCTGGGATGGATTTTTTTTATTTGAATTATCAGTACCAAGAGT